CTTTGAATCTAGATGACAATAGTAGAAGTAGGGCATGCGAATGCGATGGACGACTTTCTGAATAATAGAGGAATTAAGACGTTGTATCGGACCGTGGCACCCGACCCCGTGCGTCGCCGTCGGAAACATTTTTTTCGCATCTCCAAAATTTTGTCAACGGCCAGTTTTTGATTCCGCAATATGTAAAAGGATTGAGGCCGTGAGGGACGTGTTGACATTTTGCCATGTAGTTCGGGGCCAGGAAGGCTTCCATTCGTTAATTCTCCCTCTCCGGCCCCGTTGGTCAAGGCCGTCAAGCTATGACGATTCGGCCAATTTATAGTCTGGATTATTGTTGTATGATGTATAAAATTAATGCTGTTCGGGTTGAATTCCAATACAACAAGCTTTAAAATATATAACAGGAAGAGAATCTTAATTTATGCAAGGTTTTGAGTGTCAACGAAGACATCACCTCCTAAGACATACTAATATCTCCCAGGGAATGCTGACTTTTATGCCGTATATCCCGTATTTATGTAAAAAAATATAAGAAATTTGTTAATTTTATTTACCGATAATAGAAAGAAGGGAAAAAAATAGAGAGAAAGGAAAGGGACCAGATCACATCAGTAACTGATGGGTCAGTAACCCATCAGTAACCCCTTCACTTGTTTCCATGTGTCAGTTCCTTTTTTTATTTAAATTAAATGTGAAAGGACAGTAAAGTAAAATTGCCCCTGCCCCTATTTATTGCCAACGCTGATTGACCAGACCACATCAACGCCTTCTCTCTCCTCGAAAAATCTTTAAAATTTCTTCTCTTAATCTTTAACAGACGATTTCTCACTCGTTTTAAGTCGGAATTTAATTTTTTTGCACAGTTAAATCAGATTAATTGTGCTCTTCAAAATGATATCCACTTTGATATTTTTTGGACATAAAAAATTTTGTCAGTTATTACCAGTCATACCATATGGTATTGACTGGTATAAAATAAAATCATACCATATGGTGTGAAAAAATTTGCCACATCAATATATATTACGTTACCAGTTACCACCCAATACCATATGGTATAGTGTGGTAATACCAATATATATTTCGTTACCACCCAATACCATATGGTATAGTGTGGTAATATCAATATTTATTTCGTTACCACCCAATACCATATGGTATAGTGTGGTAATATCAATATATATTTCGTTACCACCCAATACCATGTGGTATAGTGTGGTAATATCAATATATATATTTTGTTACCACATAATACCATATGGTATAGTGTGGTAATATCACACAATACCATACAATGCCATATGGTATAGTGTGGTAATACCAATATATAATTCGTTACCACACAATACCATACATTACCATATGGTATAGTGTGGTAATATCAATATATATTTCGTTACCACCGAATACCATATGGTATAGAGTTATAATATCAATATATATTATCTAAAAGAAAAGAAAAAACAGAAGGAGGTAGAGAAAAAAATCGTCTTCTGTCGCCTCTCATTTCCTCTTTCGCAATCAAGAACACCAAAATGCCGAAAAATGAGAGATATCAAAATTGAGGCCAACGAGATGATGAAGAGAAGAAATGCAATGAAAGAGAGTGGCTGCAAATTTTATTCGTCCTGGAGAAAAAAAATAAAGAAGAAGAGAAGGGAGCAGATTTAGATCTCAAAAGGAGATTAAGAGGAAAAAAGGAAGAGAGAGGATCTGGAAAAGAGAGTGGAAGAGAAAAAGCAAGAGAGAAGGAAGAGAGAAAGGTAAATGAGAGTTGCAGAGAAATAATGGTTTCTCTTTCCTTTTTTGAAAATGCAGCCATTTAATACGAAATAAAATAAAAATAAAGAATTTAATATATAAACGGACAAAAATACCCTTCTCCACTTAGCATCCGGCCCAACCATACGATTGTCTGCCTCCTAGATCTACAGTCACTATTTATTACTGACCTGTCAGTAACCAAGTGGTTACTGACCCTATCTCCTGCCGAAAGGAAAGGTCTAACCATCAGAAGAAAATTAAGCTACTATAATTCAATATTTATTCATATTTAAATTTTGAAATGAAAATTTAATATTAATATTAAAAAATTTAAAATTAATAGTTGATAATTACTTTCACAAAATTTGTTAATGTTCGGTATTAAAAATTCATTTAAAATGCTAATATTGTTCAAACGTGTGTTTAGTAGCCTTTAGGAAGATAAACATCTCTCTTTGTGGCCACTTGCAATGGCATTATTAACATTTTGAAATAACATGATCAACATTTATGAAATAAATTATTATTTATATACTCCATCGTTATTATCAATTTGGATATACTTATTAATGCTTTATGATTAAATGATTAATGACCTAAGATCAATTGTTAGTTTACATTTTTTACATCAACGCTTATGAATGAATTATTAAAATAATGTCACAGCATTATTTATGGTTGAATAACATTGTCATTGATTTACAATATCTTTATTAATAATTCACATTTTCGCGTCATGTTCATAAATAGCCAATCATTACCTCTTACGTAAAATGTCAGTATTGGTATTTTGCGATCAATTGATGTGGGCTTTACATTTTCATTCTCAATTATCACAAAAGCACAACACTCATTTTTCATCATCTTCTAAACCTGTAACATATTGTATCTGTGATTCAACCTAATGATGGCAATTTGAACCCGCCCAGCGGGTATTATCGACCTGATCCGTGATGGGGGCAGGTTTTACCCATTCTTCAACTAATAAAAGTCGATCTTTCAACTTGTTAGACTCAATTACCCATTTATGATCACTATTTTTCATTCATAAATTGTTCTCCCCTTTGGTTTATCATAAATAGTAAAATTTGTGTGTATTTTTTTCAAATAACATGTAATAATGGGTCGCCTTACCCAGTACCCGCACGGATTTTACCCGCCCCGATCCGTAGTTCGTAGGGCGAGACATGAATATTGAGATAGCTGCCCCGCCCCGCCCCATTTCCATCACTGTCAACCTATCCTCGCTATTTTTCTCAGCTTCTAACTGCTTGCTTCCATATTTGTTTTTAGGGAGAACAGTCTTATGTTATGTGTTCTTAGTTCGCACCATATACACGGGATGAGTTAGGATGATGACTGATTTTTTAGTAGCCATCGTGGCTACTAATATCTCTACCTTCCATTTTCACTATTTTTAAACGGATGGTCATGATTGATTAGGGTTAGTTTGGGCAAAAATTAAATAACCACATCTGATTACTATCGTTACTTTCTAAATATTGTCCATAAAACCTAAATAATTCATCCCAATTCTGCGACCCAACCGTTTCAGTTTCCATTCCGCTCGTCGCACCACCGGAGATTCTCTCCACCGCCGTGGTCCCCAATTTCCATGAAATTATTCCCTCTTTCCCTTTTCGTTAAATTCAGTTTGCAGACGGGATATCTTTATTTCTGCTGAGGTCAATTCATTTGGCTCCAATTTTCGGTAAGGTGCCAAGAGCGACGAAGTGAAGAAGCTCGCTTCCTCTGGTCTCGTCGGAGAGATTGATTTTGCTCATAGTCGGTCTCGGAGTATTGGGTGGCTTAGGTAATTTTTTTCGTATGGGGAACTCGACTAGAGAAGACGACGTCTGGTTTTTTATTGGTATTTACTTTTTTGTATTGGTAGTGTTTTTTTTTTTTTTTTGTAATGGTAGTGTTTTATTGTATTGGTATTCTTTTTTCGCATATTGATTATCATGTAATAGTATTGTTGTAATCTGCAATGGTAGTTGTTGATAAGTGGTAGTGGTAGTGTTTCGTGTAGGCTGTAGTGGTAGTTGGTAACGTTTTGGTATTGGTTTCTTGTTTTTTCTTCTGCAATGGTATTGATTTTTGTAACTACCTAAAATGAAATTTATTAAAAAAATTAATTAATACAATTTATTTTTTCATACCCAATTTACCCCTAGTAACCATGGCAATTACTACTCTGTAGTAATCACCGTAACATGTCCCCCATATACACTAGTAATCTAGACAGCAAATATGTTATCATTACAAAAGCAATCAGGTATGAACAAATTAGTTTACACTGAAACAACAGATTAGGTCGACCTAATCCTAATTGAGGTCGACCGAAAAGTGCAAGTCACCATGACATGCATGTTACAGTAGGAATGACTTAAAATACTATTTAAATTTGAAGGCTTAAGAAGGTGAACCGCATCATGAAGTAACTATTGGTGTTTAGTACGCGTAGATAGGGAATCTTTCAACAAAAAGGGATGATTAATATTAGTTTTCTTTCCTTTTTCAAGTCGCAACATTAAAGAACAAGAAAAGACTTTCTACTTGAACAACATGATAATAGTCCTTATCTATATCTCGAACACCAGAGAATGTTAAAGGTTTGAAGAAAAAAAATCCTATAGACGGACTTGACTTTTACGCCGCTTCTGAAAGAATTTGACGATATCAAAGGATGAAACGCAGCCGCCTCTGCCACATGCTTAACTTTTGCCTGTATAAATAGAGCCAACACATAAACCTAAACAATCACACAATCCTTTCTCTACGAAATTACACTTCCGAATTTCGATCACTCTCTCTCTCTCTTCTTCATTTCCATCACGCGTTCCGAATTTCTCCACGAAATTACTCAACATGGGCTCTGATTTCTGTGCACCCTCCGTTATTAAATCGTACGTATGGATTATAAGTTTACAAGTTATATATAAATAAATATATCAATTGCTTCCCGCTGACCATTTTGTATACTCTATATATTGCAGGCTAGAAGGCAAGGTGGCCCTCATCACCGGCGGAGCAAGCGGCATCGGCGAGAGCGCCGCCAGGCTGTTTGTCCAGCACGGCGCCAAGGTCCTCATCGCCGACCTCCAAGACAAACTCGGCCAGTCCCTCGCCACGGAACTCGGCCCGCCGGAGACCGTCTCCTTCGTCCACTGCAACGTCACCGTGGACTCCGACGTGGCCAACGCCGTCGACACAGCGGTGTCACGTTACGGACAGCTAGACATCATGTACAACAACGCCGGAATCGGGGGCAACCTCGACACCACCATCTTGAACTCCGACAACGCCGACTTCCACAAGGTTCTCGAAATCAACCTGTTCGGATCCTTCCTCGGGGCCAAGCACGCCGCCAGGGTGATGATCCCGGCGAGGAAAGGCTGCATCCTGTTCACCGGGAGCGTGGCGTCGTCGATCAGCGGGGATCTGTCGTATGCGTACAAGGCGTCGAAGCACGCGATGCTGGGGCTGGCGAATAATCTGACGGTGGAGATGGGCAAGTATGCGATTCGGGTCAACACTGTCTCGCCCTACGGGGTGGCCACTCCCATGGTGACGCGTGGCATGCAGATGGATAAGAGGGCCGCCGAGGAGTTTATGTCGGCGGCGGGGAACCTGAGAGGGGCGGTGTTGGAGCCGGAGGATGTTGCCAGGGCGGCGCTGTATCTGGCGAGCGACGATGCCAAGTATGTGAGTGGGCTCAACTTGATTGTGGATGGCGGCCACAATCACAATCATCCTCTCTTCGCTGCTTCTGCTCAAGCATGATATCGGATTGGATCGATCGTTAGTTCCTTAATTACTTGTGTTTATATGTTTGAGAACAAAACGTTTCTTTATTGTGATCGATGTGACTGCTAATTAAAATAAAAATATTCGTGATGTACGATATGGGTGATGAGCGATTCAACCGTGTAATAAAAATAAAATGCACCATTACAATAGTCGAAATGCATGTCACTTGTTTCCTATTTTATTCAATATTTTAATCATATTATGTCATAATACTCATGTGCTATTTTGAATCCCGATGCTTTTGATGATCGTAGAGATGACGATTGACCAGACGGTGGTCAAAACAATATTAAATTTTTGTGATGTGGCAAAAAGTTGTGGCAACCGCGGCCTACATAGATGCCACATCTGTATAAGTGTATTGATTCATGATACAATTCTTTTCTCATTTTATTCCCTATGCGTTGGATGCTGCTCATCGTGTCATAAACTTAACCAACTTATCTCAATAATTAGAGTTGTTGGGAGAGGGACATGTATGGTATTTTACACTTCCTTATACACCCTCTCAAACGAAAACCTAGTCACATATCTATATATATATATATATATGAAAATGGCACCGTGCTAACTACGGAGTGGTGGTGGCCAATGGGCAAATAGCCAAATCCCATATAAAAAACATGCTAGTCAAGCAAAACCCATATAAAAAACATGCTAGTCAAGCAAATTTCATAAATTAATGTAAATATATATAAACCTTGGCCGCCTGTAAATATTGATTTATAGAGGTACATAGAAGAAGAGGAAAAAAAAAAACTCCCTCGATTTGACGGTCGGAGAAAGATGAGCGGCACCAACTTTGTTTCTTCCATGATTAAAAGGTAAAGGTAACTGAACGTCTCATATTGCTATCCTAATTTATCACTTACGGATCGACTTTGCATCTCTAGGCTGGAAGGAAAAGTAGCGGTGATCACCGGCGGAGCCAGCGGAATAGGCGAGGCCACGGCCAAGCTCTTCGTCCAACACGGCGCCAAAGTCGTCATCGCCGATGTCCAGGACCAATTGGGCCAATCCTTGGCCCGAAACTTGGGCCCACCGGACACCGTCTCCTACATCCGATGCGACGTCACCAGCCCTCCCGATGTCAGAGCCGCGGTGGACGCCGCCGTGTCCAGGTACGGCCAGCTGGACATCATGCACAACAACGCCGGCGTCGCCGGTTCCCCGGACCATCGGATTGTCGACTGCGACGATGACAACTTCCGGCGGGTCATGGACGTCAATCTGTTCGGGCCATATCTCGGGGCCAAGCACGCCGCCAGGGTGATGGTACTATTAATAAATCTTTATTTGATGATATTAATTGTGTTAGTAACCACTAACAACTCATTTTATTGGTATTAAGTGATCATTTTTTACATTGAGAGGTCTTATATCCAACACTGGGAATTCTATTGGTAGTGGCAAATGGATTAAATTTGTAGAAGCTTGGACAATAAGTGAAAAGTTTAGGTACCAAAACGTAATTTTCTAATGAAATTTTTTATAATAAAAAATAAAATTGTAGCTACCGAAATGTAAAATATCAAAAGTATAGGTACTAAATCGTAATTTGTCAATGAGTCCATGGATCAATCCTCGAATCCACTAATCCAATTGGATTTGGATCAAATGGATTGTATTTGGGGCTGGGAAACAGTCCGGTTTGGTTTAAACCGGACCGGATTGGACATAGCCATAACTGAAGACGGGATTGGATTGGTACACGATTTTAACCAAACCGGATTGGATGCAATACGGTTTGGTCCGGTTTTGACCGGAAAACCGTTTTCAACCGAAAAAACAAGAAATGGTCCCTATATCCCCAAACGCCAGCGTTTCATTTTATGGTTAATTAAAAGAAGAGGAAAAAAATGGCAGGTCAGTGGGTCACAGAAAGTCCCCATCTTCCCTCTATCAGAGTCTACCTTTTCTCGATTAAAACACCATCCCCATCTTCCCTCTCTCTTCTGTCTTCATCTTCCATCTTCATCTTCCATCTCAATCTCTCATGAGATCTCTCATTACAATCTACAATCCTGCTTACAAAACAAAAATCATTCACAATCCTTCCTACAAAAAAAAAAATTCATTCACAATCCTAGATCTATGAGGCGATCTCGCATCAGAAAGAGGAAGATCTATCCGTCATCGGTGGTGATACAAGGGACGCGACGAATGACAGTGATGAAGTGTTGGCGATGGAGGCATGCACTGTGGGCGAAGATCCAGACATCGACGACGGCAAAGTTGGATGAGCGGAGTGGGAGAGACTCGACTTGAGAGCTTGGCTAAGTTGTCGCCTGCTCGCCGCCTCCAAAATCGACCAGTGTCGCTGCGTTGTGAGCATATCACCATCGACGTGTCCACCGCGATCGTTGGCCATAGATAGATGACGCCAAAGGGAGAGTTGAGGGTTGATGGTGAGTTGGAGATTGGGGTTTGTTTCACGAGGAAGAAGAGAGAGTCGGCGGAGTGTGGAATATTGGAGAAAAGAAAACGAGGAAGAAGAGGAAGCGGCGGAGTGTGGGCGGCTGTGTGGAAGAGAGATGCAATTGGGAGGTTGAGGGTTTGGATGGGCTGGGTTGGGCTTGGCTTTGAATTTTTGCAAGTTGGGCTTTGGGTTTCAATGTTTTAGGATTGGGCTGGGCAGAAAGCAAGGCTAGAATGGGCAGGTCCGGTTTTTCAGTTTTTCCCGGTTTTAACCGGATCATATCTGGTGCGGTTTTTCCCCGAACACTGACAACCGGAATCCGGATTGGACCGGGTTGTATCCGGTTTCCGGTCAAAACCGGAACGGTTTAAACTGGGCGGTTTCCGGTTTGACCGGAAAACTGTAACCGAATTTCCAGCCCTAATTGTATTAGTTGGACATTTTAGTAGGTGGATTGAATTGGATTCATGGATATGGATCCTAATGGCCACCTCTGTAAGCACATGATGTCTGATATATGAACAAACTTCAAGCGTATATGAGTGGATTTCGTTGGAGGACAACTCGAATTATTGAGATCAACTGTTCTCTAAACCGAGAGGTCTTTTATTCGCATCTCGATAACCCTCATATGTTTTATTAAGCATATAATATTCGAATCTGTGCAAATTTCATGAGTCGTCTTTCGTTTGAGAAAGTGTTAATAAATAGTATATAATTCATGTATATAGTAATAACTCGACCTACTAGTTCTTTACAAATTCGACGTAAACTCTGTTATACAATAACTTTCCTACATCGATCAACAGGTACCAGCGGGGAGAGGCGGATGCATCCTGTTCACGGCGAGCAGCGCCGCCGTGACGAGCGGGAACATTTCGTACCCTTACAAGGCGTCGAAGAACGCGGTGGTGGGTCTGGCGAACAACCTGTGCGCCGAGCTGGGTCAACACGGGATCCGGGTCAACACCATCTCGCCTTTCACGGTGGCGACTCCGCTGCTGAGGAGTGCGCTGGGCGGGCTGGGGGAGGAGGAAGCGGAGCAGTTTGTAGCGGCGGTGGCGCCGCCGAACTTGAAAAGGATGGTGCTGAGGGCGGAGGATGTCGCAAAGGCGGCGCTGTATCTGGCGAGCGATGATGCCAAGTACGTGAGTGGGTTGAATTTGGTGTTGGACGGCGGCCATAATCACAACCATCCGATCTTTGGTGCTTCCGCCTTCACTTAATTAGCCGGTGATGATGAAATTGATGAGTGATTTAGCGGTTGATATATAAATAAGGAAATAATATATGTGGACAAACTCGCTTGTCTAAATTGAACACTCTATATCTGTTTATTTATTGGACTTGGGAATGGATCAGGTCAGTAATTTTATAGTGAGTAACTATGAGTAACCCGCCCACATCAGAATGACATCAGCATCCTCTCTCTCCTGGAAAGCCTTTAATTTTCCCCTCCTTAATCTTTGATGGACGATTTCTCACTCGTTTTAAGTCGAAATTTAATTTTTTTTGCACAGTTAGATCAGATTAATTGTGCTCTTCAAAATGATATCCACTTTTATATATTTTTCGAACAAAAAAAATTGAGCCATTTTTTACCAGTCTATACAATATGGTATTGACTGGTATTGAAATAAGAGCATACCTATGGGTTCAAAAGCGTACCATGGTGGTATGAACAAACCAAGACTGTAGGATGATTGAATACATGATAGTAGAAGTATATTAATTGTCATTTACGACTTTTAACATTGTATACCATAAAATACCATAAAATACCACCCCGTACCAGGGTGGTATTGTATGGTATTGTGTGGTATTTTTTGGTCTTGTAATTTGTTCACCCAGAAATTTGTAGATCCAATAGATCATGATGAACTCGTCCCTGCTGTGCAAACGTTTTCAAAAACGAATGAAAAACGAAGAAAATACCATATGGTATGCAGTTGGTACCGAGAGGCCAGAATTTTTTTTCCGGCTGGTCGTCATCATCACCAGTCACCGAACGACGAGAATGGTAAGAGGAACGGCGGAGAGGTCTGTTTCGGATCCAAGTCGTTCAAGCCTCCTCGGTGTTTGTCGCAGCGTCGCCTTGCATCAAGGCGCCTTCGTCATCGTCATGTTCAGCAGTCATCAATCGAGCGGGCTTGTCCGTCTCCAGAGAAGCAACCCCTTCAGGTGAAGCCTCTGTCTCCAGGTCAGCCGGGATGTGTCCCAAGTCTCCCGTCTCTGTCGTTGCAGCCGCCTCTCCGAAATTGTCCATACCTGGGGTGTTCAGTTCCCGTCACCAATCGCCGCTGTAACACTGGGTTTGCCTTGGGTTTCGTTGCTTGATTGCAGGGAAGAATAAGCTTTTCCTCCTTTTGTTTCGTCATCGTTTGGTTAATTAATGTTTGGAGACCGATCGGTGGTAGTTTGCTGGGTCAAAGGAGTAAAATAATTATCATCAGCTGCATGCCTGGTGTTCGTGGTGCTGATAAAGAAAAGGGTCATAGAAAGATGAATCTTCACAACATCAGTTCCAGGTAATGGCAGTGAAGATAGTCACAACCCAAGTATTGGTTGTCCCTTCAGTAGCCAGAGGTGGATGTCATGAAGCGAGGTAGTCACAGTCCAAGAACTTATTGTCCCCTTGACTTTCAGAATTGGTCAATTACAGTCTACATCGTTCAAAATTTCAAGCTGGGCATTCATGTTGTTCATGCTCCAACTTGAGGGGGAGAATAGGGCATCATTGTATGTAGTCAATCAGTTCAGCATATCGAACACAATGTATCAGTCAAGGAGGTTCCCCAGTCTTGTTCAAGAGAGACGATAGTCAGAAGTCTCTCAATCTGTCTCATTCAAGAGAGGCGCAGTCAACAGCCTCTCGGTCAATCTCATCCAGGTAAAGGCGCAGTCAACCGCCTCCACCATATCGTTCGGATAGACGCAATCAATCGTCTTCGTCAAGTCATTCAAGAGACGCAGTCAACCGTCTATGTCTGGTCGTTTACGAGACGTAGTCAACCGTCTCCATCACGACGTTCAAGAAGATGCAGTCAACCGTCTTCGTCAGGATGTTCAAGGGAGAGAGTCAGTCGTCTCCAAATCAACCTCGTCCAAGATGTTATTCATCTCGAGTTATGTTGTTCAAGCTTGTCATGCTTGTTCGTCACATTTCCTTTTTCAAGCTCGACATTCTTGTCATTCATGTCTTCGCTTGAGGGGGAGTGTTGAGGATATTAATTAATTAGTCAAAAAGTAATTAATTCCTTGTCCTACAAGTCCCTAGTTTTCCTTGTTCAAGTAAAAGAAGGAAACTTGGTTGTCATTAGGGTTTTAACCCTAAGTCTAAATCTATAAAAGCTTAGCTACGGTCATGTCGTAAGCAAGCCGTCAAGATGTAGTCGTATAATAAAACATCAGTCGTGAGCTCGTTCCGAGCTCACCGTGGATTAGTCTCGATCAATCGATCGAGGATACCACGTAAAATATCGTTGTCTCGTGTGTTGTTTCAATTCCGCATCATCAAATTCTACATATATTGTCAAAAAAATTCAATTGTATAACAGTTTCCTAGATATTCTCTACCAGATAACTATAACTGGGCATGACCCATTGAATACATACAGTTGAATATATGTTTATAGTGCTTATCATGTCATTTTCAATGTTTCCTGGCACATTTGAATACATACATTACAATCTCATATAAAAAAATAAGGAGAAATTGTCCCTCTTTAACTATAGTTAGCTCGGCCTCTGCAAATTAATATCAATTTCTTCTACCATCGAATCCACTATGTTATCATAAAAATTTACTATCTTCTTTGCCTAATCAATAATTAAAATCGGGTAATTTTAGAGAGAATAATGGGTTAATAGTGCTTATCCTGTCATTTTCAAGGTATCCTACACATTTGAATACATACAATATAATATCATATAAAACATATGGAGAAATTATTCCCTATTTAATTACACTTAGCTTTGCCACTGCTAATTAATATTAATTTCTTCTATCACCAAATCCACAATGTTATCATAAAACCCCACTGTCTTCTTTGCCTAAGTAATAATTAAATTCAGGTTTTCTAAACATAAAATTAGGTTTACAATGACGTTTTTGTTTTAAGAGTTGGTTTGAGAGTTGAGACCACATTTTTAGAATTTTTTCCATTTTTTCATTTGGGGAAAGCATTTTCTTTTTTAATGTAACCAAGCCCAACCAAATATACAGAAGCCCAAGTTCAAAAATCGTAATTATGATCTCTCCAGGCAAAATGAATATGAAGTAGAATGACAGAGATAGTCCTTTAATATGCGCAGAGGCCTCTGTTTTATTATCTAGGCTCCTCTTCGTCTAGAACGTTTATATAGTAGTGTAAAGAAGATTACCAAGCAGCGATAATAGCTTTTCAAACGTCACCGTCTTACCTCCATCCTAGTTGGCCACAATCTTGACCCAATATCCTGTCCAAATTATCCCTCGAATCTATTGCTCTCCATATCGTATATATTTTGTCAAATTTTCTTGGACAAATAACAGTTAATTAATTTTCACGATGATTAATTAAAGATTATGGAGGCATTTAGCCTTGACAATTTTTTTTTTTTGCGCAACGTTGCTCTACTGTAACATCCCGAACCTTTTCCCGACAAGATGATGTCCGCTTTGGGGCTCAACTCTCACGGTTTTTGACTTGGGGTGCAATTCAATGTGCCTTCCCATAAAGTCACCCATCCTTGTTGTACTCCACACTGAGCATGTTTTACTTCGGACTTCTCACAAGAAACGACGACCAGAAACTACGGAAGGGAAGGAAAGGGAAAATGGGAAACGATTTTCTCAGATGCCAAACAGAAAACACACAAGCTAGCAGCAGCAGGCGAGCCGGCCCAAATCGAAATCTGTGCGGGTGTAGAGGCCCAAACCGGACAATATCTTGTCGGGAAAAGGTTCAGGATGTTACAAGTGGTATCAGAGCCTCCCGCGTCCCTCTTGAACGATGGTGGGGCAAACCTCAAAGAGGGCGTTGAGTCCCAAGGGGGGGTGTAACATCCCGAACCTTTTTCCGAGCAAGATATTGTCCGATTTGGGTCTCGACCCTCACGGTTTTCGACTTGGGGTGCAATTCAATGTGACTTTCCATAAGGTCACGCATCCTTGTAGTACTCCACACTGAGCATGTTTAACTTCGGAGTTCTCACAAGAACTCCTCCATTTCACCCCAAAACGCGTCTTGTCTGTTAAGGTCGGTTTCTTACTTATGAAACATAGATCTCTACCGTGCTTTATCGATGTGAGATTTGCCTAAGACGTTACATCTACTCTTTGTCAAAGAATGAATAATGTAACACCCGGTGCCTCCTAACATATATAAAATCCCTAAACTACCCTCCTTCCCGTAATTATATAAACTAAACAATAGCGAAACCCTAAGGGCCTAGCTCTAGTAGCCCCAAACCCCCCGTGGGGGCAATTAATTCTTTTTCTAACAGCAAAGAGTAGCACGGCTGCGGCTGCGACGACTTGGGGAACTAGCGACGATGGACGTCGGGACAGGCCATGGAAGGAAGCGAGGCGGCGATAACCAAATAAGAGAGAGATAAGGGGGACCGGAAAGGAGAAGAAAGAAACCGATGGTCAGTACCCAGCTGGCGGAGGATTCTGTACCAAAGGCGCTACGGGCCCATGATTTCGTGGTGGTGAAGAAGCTCGGAACTACAGTATTGGCGTTAGAGGCTGTGGCAAGAGCCTGGAGGCAGTGAATGGGTTAAGGTAAGAGGCCCTGACTGTGATCAATGCTTTAATGGCATGATTCTATTAGAGAATGGGAATCAAATGATTAACTTGGCGGTTGAGCTTATGCATATTGTTTCGTAAGGCATATGCATGTGAATAACAAGTTAGAAAGATAAATATGGGTAATTCGCTTGATAACTGAGGGATTAGATTGGCCATGACTGAGGAGTATTGGGCGGTGAGATTAATGGGGATTGGTAAACAGGGGTTACGGGTAACCCTTCAAGAGTTGGGAATGTATGTTGCTTTTACGTGGAGAATGATGATAGTGATAATCTGGGAGTATTGTGTACCTTTTAGGTCAGAGTTAGTAAAGGAGGAATTTATCACTAAATTAAGGGGTGGTTTGCTTCGTGGATTTGGATGATGGATTTGAATACCATATCCATTTCAACATGGATTTAAATCAAATTAATTGTTTGCTTGCATTCCTTTTACAAGGACCAAATTTGTGGGGTCCTCGGATTTGGATCAACATGGATTTAAATAAAATCCATCGTTTGCTTGCATTCCTTTTAAAGACCAAATCCGTGGGGTCAACGGATTTTAAGGATCCAAATCCGTGGACCCCATGAACTTATAAA